ATGGCCCCCGGCCGCTGCAGCGATCATGGCCCCCGGCCGCTGCGCGGCCCGGTGCCAGGCACTCCACGGCCCAGCACCGGTCCGCGGACTGGGGGTTGGGGATCACTGCCCTAGTTGATTCATGAGCCTCAAGCCAAGTTTCAATACAAAACTAGTCATTTATTGGGAGCACCATAGGCAAGATATTTTCGCAGTCAGATCTAAGCCTTGTTTGAGTTATAGCTGAACTTTACCCCGTTCCTTCCCTCCCCTCAGTCTGTGTCATAAATCACATTCCCCAATGAGGTGCACCCCGCCCAAGCCTGCTGCCGTAATCTGAGATCCAACTTCAGCCGACTCTTCTTCTTCTCCCAATCTTCTCACCAGGGCTGAAACCATGCCCCATGACACTGGTCTTCGGTTGCCGACAATCCAAGATCGATCACATTTACAAAGAAGAGACTCTACTGGCCAAGAGCAGCGGGATCTTCAAAGAGCTGTTCACAGCCTATTCTCGTGAACCAGAAAAACCAAAGGTAATTCCCCACCTTATCCACATCTCACCCCAAGCTGATTCCTGGTCATTTCCCAGATGTCTGTCATTCAGACAAGTCAGCCATCGACAGGCACATAGAGATAAACAATGTCTACACACCATTCCAAAGAGAGTAAAAAAGCAAAGTCAATGGGGAGGGGAGCTGGATTGGCTCAACGGCTCCATGATTCCCTTACCTGCAAAAGGTTGTCAAATCTGGTGTGACTCATTTAACAACTGCCTTCAGTCAAGGACTACCCGCCAATGTGGTGTAAAACTCCTTTTCCTTTTTATAGAAATATGTGCAGGACATCCTGCAGGAGCAACTGGCGAGCTCAGTCTACAAAGCACTGAAGGAGAAAGGTGGCCATGTCTATGTGTGCGGGGATGTCACCATGGCTGGAGATGTCCTCAAGACCATCCAAAGCATCGTTCGGCAACAGGGGAAGCTGTCAGCCGAGGAAGGAATTGCGTTCATTAGCAAACTGAGGGTGAGCCTCCATGTCAAGGTTCCAAGTAAATAAATACATCCATAGCAGAAAGAACTCTGAGGCAGGAAAGTTCCTCAAAGAACAATTCATTGGGATTTATCATATTGGCACAAAGCTGGTGAAAATCTACTCCAAAAGTGCCTGCGGTTTTCACCTTCTTGAAAGTGAAAGTTTGCCACTTTCACTTTACCACTTTGGTAAAATGCTGCCTTTAGCCTTCATAAGACTTGCCAGTTAGAAAAGGTGCTACTAAACTCTTCCTGATCTCTCTCTCTCTCCTCTCCTCTCTTCTCTTTTTCTCTCCCACTCTCTTCTCTCTCTCTCTCACCCGTCTTTCTCTCATTTTCCTACTCTCACTCGTTCTGTTTCTCTCTCTCTCCCTCTCCTTTCTCTATTTCTCATTCTTTTCCCTTCTATCTCTTTCTTTTTTCTCTTTTTCTCTCTCTCATTCTCCTGTCTCTTTCTCTCTCTCTTTCTTCTGTTTCTCTCCTCTCTCTCTCCTGTCTCTTTCTGTCTTTCTCACCTGCTCTCTTTCTCTTCTTTCTCTCTCTCTCCTCTCCTCTTCTCTTTTTCTCTCTCACTTTCTCTCTTCTCTCTCTCTCTCTCCCACCCACCTTTCTCTCATTCTCCTACTCTCACTCTCTTTCTTCTGTTTCTCTCCCTCTCCTTTGTTTCTCTATTTCTCATTCTCTTTCCTTCTATCTTTCTTTTTTCTTTTTCTCTCTCTCCTTGTCCTATCTCTTTCCCTCTCTCTCTCCTCTCCTCTTCTCTTTTTCTCTCTCACTTTCTCTCTTCTCTCTCTCTCACCCTCACCCGTCTTTCTCTCATTCTCCTACTCTCACTCTCTTTCTTCTGTTTCTCTCCCTCTCCCTTGTTTCTCTATTTCTCATTCTCCTTCTCTCTTTCTTTTTTCTCTTTTTCTCTCTCTCCTTCTCCTGTCTCTTTCTCTCTCTTTCTCCTGTTTCTCTCTTCTCTCTCTCTTCTGTCTCTTTCTTTCTCTCCTGCTCTCTTTCTCTTCTTTCTTTCTCTCTCTCTTTCTCTCCCTTTTTCTCTCCCCCCTTTTCTCTCTCCTTTTTTTCTCTATTTCTCATTCTCTTTCCTTCTATCTTTCTCTAATTTCTTTTTTCTCTATTTTTCTCTGTCTTCTGTTTTTCTCTCCCTCTTCCTCCTCCTCTCCCTCTCTCCCCTCCCCACAAACATATCATTTTGCAGGATGACAACCGATACCACGAAGATATCTTTGGGGTCACTCTACGCACATACGAAGTGACCAATC